CCTCTGCCCTGCCCCCTGCTTACGCACACTCTCTCTAAAATAAATAAAATCTTTAAAAAAGATTTTATTTATTTATTTGACAGAGAGAGAAAGCGAGAGCACAAGCAAGGGGAGCGGCCGGCAGAGGGAGAGGGAGAAGCAGGCTCCCTGTTGAGCAGAGAGCCCGGCATGGGGCTTGATCCTAGGACGCTGGGATCATGACCCAAGCCAAATGCAGACGCTTAACTGAGCCACCCAGGCACCCCTAAAATAAAATCTTTAAAAAAATGATGGGGTCAAAAAGACAACTTTAAGGAGCACCCAAGGGCCAAAGCTGGGACAACCTGAATAGCAAAATAATGACAGTGTCAGATAACCCACGAAATAAAATAAACACCCATGAATCTATAGTGATATAAATAAATACTTGAATAAGTAAAGGGGAGAGCAGGCACTGCTCTCTCTTAGAGTAGAATGGCAATTAATAAATGCAGAAGAAGTGGTAAAAATAGAAAATCTCCATTAGGCAAACATCACAGAAATGACTGTTACAGGCAAGAACCGTTAATGAATGTTAAGATTAGTGGGTGAAAGAATGATAAAACAATGGAATTATATAGTATCGAAGTGTTTCCCCAGAAGGTACCTATTAATTACCAAAGGAGAAATAGTAACTTTACAGTGGAGAAGCCTGGTAGACCCACATAAGGCAAGGGATCGAAAGCATTGGGAATGAGACATGCCAGCACCTTGTACCTCCTGACAGGATATCCTGAGGACGTATCATCTCTGTGGTTTCTTCCCCAAAAGGCATGACCCTCAATTTCATCATAAGAAAACACAGGACAACCCCAAAGTAAAGGACATTCTATAAAATAACTAATTAGTACTCTTCAAAAGTTTTGAAAATTTTCTTTGTCAAGGAAGACAAAGACTGAGAAATTGTCCCAAATGAGGATCCTGAATTGGACCCTGGTCCAGAAAAAGAACATTAATGGGAAAACTGGTAAAATTTAAATAAGGCCTGTAGATTAATAATATTTTATCAACTTGAAGTTCCTGGATGCTTAATTATAGCATGGCATATAAGATGTAAACATTAAGTGCATATGGGTGGGCTATTTGGGAACTCGACTATTTTTGCAACATTTTATAAGCACAAAATTAGTTCAAAATAAAAGAGAGAGAACATGGGGCACCTGGGTGGCTCAGTTGGTTAAGCGACTGCCTTTGGCTCAGGTCATGATCCTGGAGTCCCGGGATCGAGTCCCACATGGGGCTCCCGGCTCAGCGGGGAGCCTGCTTCTCTCTCTGACCCTCTCCCCTCTCATGCTGCTTCTCTCTCTCTCTCTCTCTCTCTCTCAAATAAATAAATAGAAAGAGAGAACACTTTTTTCAAAACCTGGTTTGAGTGGGGTCCCTCCTCCCCGGCCCCTCCTGAGGCTGACATTCAGCCCCTAGAGTGCTGGTGGCTCTGAAGTCTGGCGGCTCTCTCTGGGCCTGGGCGGGGCTCCAGGACGTCACAGACAGAAGCCCACATCCTCTGCCCCAGCAACTTGCACCCGTGCCCAGAACTCCCTGTTGCCTTCAGGCCTGGTGGTCATTCGGGCCCCACCTTCCCACAGAGACAAGTGTGGGTGGTTCTGAGCCCCGGGGAGGGAGGGCATGAAAAAGAATGAGGAGGTCACAGGTACTTCAGGCAGTAGAAGGAGAAAAACCCAGGAACCAGAATAGTAGATCAAAAGGAGGACCTTGGAGCACTTGTTTCTCAGTCTTAAAACAAGCAATTTTTTGTTAAACATTTACTTTGTGAGAAGAAAGTCCGCAAGGGGTTGTCAGTGAAAGGTGAGGAGCGGTGGAGGGCAGAGGAAGCCCTGAGAGGTGCAGGGAGAGGAGGGGAAGGGGAAAGGGGAGGGGGAAGTGGGAGGGTTGGGAACGGTGGCAGATCCTTGCCTGGGATCCTTGAGTAGCTCCTGTCTGAATTCGGCTCAAGTGCCCCAGGAGGTGCCCGGCCAGGCTCCAAGGTAGAGGCAGCACAATGCATGTGTGTGATAAGGATTCTGGTTATCTACCACTTACTCCCTAGGTGACCGGAAGAGGGAGAGAGATTCTCCAGCAGACTCCTCGCTGAGCGCAGAGCCCAACGCGGGGCTCGATAACCCAGGACCCTGGGATCATGACCTGAGCCAAAACCAAGAGTCAGACACCCAACTGACTGAGCCACCCAGGTGCACCAAGTCGCCACAGTTTTTAGCCCTAAAACTTCTCTCATCCAGGCTGGGCCGGTTTGGCTTCCTGGGATCCTGGTATTCATTTCCAGAGGTCCCGAGGCAGTGACTTCGTTACAGGTGGCCCGTTAGCAGTCAGCCTTCGTCCGCTGCAGAGCTCATGGGCAGCCTCACACAATCTCGCACGATGCTCCTGCACCCTGCTCCTCCAACCTGCACCATGCTTCTGTCCCCTAAGGGACACCGCCTGCCTATCTTAACACAGCCAGGCACGTGTTTTCTTTTCTTAGCCATACAATTAAGGAACTACGGGGCTAGGAGGCACTTTGCAGATCATCTAGTTTAACTGCCCATTCTATTTTGTCTAAAAGGAAGAAGTGACACTCCTCCAGTAGGCCGCCTGAGGTGTTAATACAGCAGCAGGCACAAATCCACATTGTCCTTCCGTGGGTTATGGCACAAAAGACCTCAAATCGGTCAGATAATCAAATATGCAACCCAGTGAAGAAGAACATCTCTGTGTCTAACATAGGTTTAAAGGCATCGACTATTATGGTCCTGTGCTCTGCCAATATTGTGAATCGCTAAAAGGCATTCCAGGAATCACCTCCACCTCTCTGAGCTAATCTGGGAAGCACTTTTATCACATATGACAAGGCCCTCTGAGCCTGGCTCATGAGAACTAAATTAGACTTCATGCTCTTGATAGCCTGCTCCACCTCAACCACAGGATCAGAACTGATAGCTTAGCCGAGCACACGGCGGTTCCAGTCCCCCGTGCTCATTTATCCTAGGACGCTGCACACACGGCTGGCTGGCAGAAGCCATGGCTCTTCCTCAGCTGCCTGCGGCCTCCGCACCACAGCTAGTGTCTACTTCCAGAAGTCCACTCTGCCCTCTTCCGCCCGGAGCCCCAACGTGGGCAAGCTGGGTCCTGCCTCTCCATCCATCCACGGATCAGACTCTGCACGGACAGGCACAGCACAGGGGCTCTGGGATCACGGGGAGCTGCTGCTCTTGAGAACACCTATGTTATTAGTTAGAGCTCAGAAGAACGTTCCACCTTCTCTGGCTTTCCCCTCCCTGCTCTTAAAAGACATATATGCCCATTAAGAAAGAAAGAAAAAGGAAACCGCTCAGTTCAGAAGTGTGCGAAGTGGAGAAAGAAAAGCCCCCAGCTGTCCCCAGAGAGAACGACCATGAGCAGCTCCAGTCCTGTCCCTGCAGACTGCAGAGCCTTGCAGTCCATCTCCCCGATCCCCCAGCCCCCATTCTCCTCTCCCTGGACCCCCTGGAGCGGCGGCCTGGCTGTGCACCGCTAACACGTGCCCCCAGTCTTCTTCACATCCCCAGCCAAGGCTTCCAGGACAACGCCCCCCTCTCCCTGGCAGCCCCCTCAGCCTCCTCGCGAAGGTGTGCCCGGGCTCAGGCCCAGGCCTCTCCTCTCCTCTGTCCACTCCCACTTCTTCAGGGGGGTTCATCTACTGTCCCGGCTTTAAGGACCGTCTAGCCAGAGGCTCCTCAACATACGTGTCCAGCCCAGACCTCTCTCTCTCTTTTGAGCTCCAGCCTCGTTAACATTTATTTGCCTACCTAGATCTCCGTTTGGGTGTCTAATAGCATTTCAAATTCGACATGCCCAAAACTGAACTCCTGAAAGTCCTCCCCAAACCTGCTCCTCCTACAGCTTTCACATGAACTCAGTCATCTTGACTCATGCCTTTCTGTCCTAAGCTATACCCAGTTCATCAGAAAATCCTGTTGGCTCTATTTACAAAATATATGCACGATCTACCCACTTGCCACACCTCCACTGCTGCCACGCGGGTCCAAGCCACCCTCGCGTCTCCCCTGGAGGATTCTAACAGCCTCCCGCCTGGTCTCCCTGCTCCCACCTATGTCCATACCCACCACCTCCGTAGAAGCCAGAGTGAGCCTTTGAAAATATAAGTCAGATCATGTCCCTCCTCTGCTTAACACCCTCTTAGGGCTCCCTGTCCACTCAGAGTAAAAGCCCAAGTGGCTACGAAGTCCTCTATGATCTGGGTCCCTTGTGACTTCTTTGGCCTCACCGTTCCCTCCTCTTCATCTGGACCCCTGTGCTCCAGGCCACACTGGCCACCGCCATGATTCCACAAGTAGCCCAGGCATACCACCGCCTTCAGGCCTTTGCACTGTCTGTTCCTTCTGCTTGGACACTCTTGCCCCAGATGTCCGTGACTCACTCTCTCACCTTCCCGGAGCCTTGGCTCAAATGTCACCTCAGTGAGCCTACCCTACTTTTTTTGAAATTGTAAACTGTCCCTTCCCTATCACCTAACAATCCCTTTATCCTGCTCTACATTGAAAAAAAAAATCACCTAACATTCTGTCTAATTTACTATGTTCTTGTTTACTGTTAAGTCTCTTTCCCAACTAGCATGTAAGCTCTGTGGGAAAAGAGATCTCTGTCTGACTTACTTCTCAATATATCCTATGCCTTCAATAGTGCCCAGCACAGGGCAAGCATTCAGCAAATGCTTCTCAATGAATGAATGAAATATCTCTTAGGCCTGTCTACATGCTCTGCAGCATCTCTGGCCCTAAGACCCTTTTTCACACCGAAGAACTCTGGGGCCCGCTGACTTGGCCATTCTGCCAATCAGGAGGGGCAACCTCTTCTGAGCAGCCTGTCTGCTTCCCTCTTCCCAGCCATGTACCTGCCATGGCCCCTTCTATCTGTACAGCCCCACGGACGGGATAACTCCCACTCTGATGCTCATCCTGGCCCAGGCTGGGCTCCTGGCCACTCACCTGAAAGTCCTCCTCATCCAAGATCTCTTTTCTCCACTTGATCAAGAAGGCTGCACACACGTAGAGATGAAAGTGGGAGAACCCTTCTGGTTCAGACTGGGAAGGGAAAGAACTGTTAGGTCTCCAAGCCCTGACAGAGAGCCAGCTCTAGGCCTCTCGGTTCCAATCCTGCTGCAAGGTGGGCACACAGCACAGCACTCCTTTCATGGCTGGGCACACAGAGGCCGGAGCAGATTCTGCAGCGGCCCTGCCCATGAGACTGAGGCAGACACAGAAATAGAAAGGGGGGAGGGGCTTTTGAGCAGCACACTCCAGCAGGGCGGGGAGCTGGGCGCCTCAGGGACAGCCTGGCATGGAGTGGGCAGGGGCCCCTTCATACCTGGTATGTGTCCCATAGGCGGATGGTGCAGCGAAGGGGAAGCTCCCGCATGAGCAGGTTGTTCATCCAACGAAAGGCAAACTGTAGGTATTCGACCTCGTACCTCCTGAAGTGATTATGTACCTGCTCTGAAACAGAAAGCGTCATTGGCCCCAAGGGTTCAACCTAGGGGACTGGACCCTGAGAGAGTCACATGAGCTACAAAGGCAGTTTCCATCTCTTTTTCCCCCCTCTTCCTGGGGAAGCCCGGCATAGAAGGGCCAAACAGGCATCTGACCGGCCTTTAGGCTTGCTTCTACCATCTTACAGCCACACTGCCTGGCTAACGCAGCCCCACACGTAGTGAGACGATTTTAACATCCATGTTCTAGGTACCTTTCTTCCCTCACAGGCCTGCTCTCGCCATAAAGCGGCAGACGTGAGGAGGTCCACTTGGCTGCTTGACCCTATTACCTCTTGAGAGGAGGAGCCAAAATGGAAAAGAACCGTGGGGGTCACCTTGGCCATCCTCCCGCCGGTGAGGACTTCCTCCTCAGCATCCCTGACAGATGGCAGCCAGCAGGGACTTAAACACTGCCGGAGAATGAGGTTCACTGACTCCAGCAAGGGCAGCCTCTCCCACTGATGTATTAAGTGATTCACCAGAAAGTGCTTCGCTGTATTCAATAGAAACCAGCTCCTTCCTGACTCCCACCCTCGGTGTTTGTGTGGTGCTCTGGAACAACCCTACACCAACCGGATCCCTGTTCTACATGACAGCCCTTTAAACAGTGCTTACTAGCATTTTTAAAAAATTATTATCCTCCTCAGTCTCCTAATCTATAAAATGCAGATAATCATTCATACCTCAGAAGGTTTGGGGGAGGATAAAATGAGAAAACAAAAGTGCTTACAACAGCACCTGGCATGTGGTAAATACATAATATAATTTTTTGAAAGAATAACTAATAACAATGGTTATTTCTGGGGAAGAGAATTTAAGGAAGGGGGAGGATGTTTATTTTGTATTTTTCCAAATTATTTTAATTTTTCTAATGCGTATTACTTGTGTAACTCAATGAAACAGTAAGGACACAGACATTCATAAATCCCCTGTCCTCAAGTACTATGCCTTTACTGATCAGGTACTTGCGAGGGCAAACAAGGATGACGCAGATGGTGGCAGAAACCGCAGCCTCTGCCCCGGGAACCTGGGACGAGGGGTGCAAGGAGCTGCGTGTGGGCCCCACGCTGGGCTAACAGCTGGCCAGACAGAGAGGAAAAAACATCCTACGGACGACGTATCAGAAACCACTGTAAACCAGCAAACAAGATGGGAAGACTGAAATCCTAAGTCATAAAAGGAAGCTGGAATGAGTGGAACAAATCAGGGAAGGTTTTCAGGAAAAGAGAAGCTGGGGAAGAGGGAAAGACACGCAGTTTTTGTCAGGGGGGTGGGGGTGGGGCGGGGAAGCCATTGCTCTGGTGAAGCACAAAATCCCTGATAAAAAGCCAGGAATGAGATTTCTTAGTTGTGCAGTATCTGGCGGAGTCCTAAAAAAGCTTTACAACTTAGCTGGTGCTACAGAGCCCACTTAGCAGAAGACTTCGCTGTGAGGTGCTAGGCTATCTTTATGAAACTTAATTCCAACGTCTCTTGCTGGGTCTCGGTTTCTTTATCAGCAAAAAGCAGGGCTCCCCGAGTTGCCTTTTAGTTCTAGAGTCTGGGATCCCAAGCCAGGGCTGAGGAATGACTGCGAGGCTCCTGCTCCTCAAAGACACCCTGCTTTAGGAAGAGCCATGTCTCCCCTCCCTGACTCCCCTCCCTGCCCAAACAGGTCCCAGGTTGCTGTAGAAAAGGCCTGCCAGGGTATCAGTCAGACCTGAGGACTGCGCATCAAGCCCAGGAGTCCTGAGTGACATCACCACGTCAAGGACAAGGTCAGACTACAGCTTGACGCTAAAAGCAATGGAGAGCCACAGAGGGCTTCTGAGCAAGAGAGGGACGTGACCAGGACAGTGCTTTAGAACGATGCAGTTGTGCAACAGAAGGTTTGGAAGAGGAAAGAATCTGGAGGAGGTAAGTCTTTCTAGAAAGAAGCTGCAGAAATCCAGGCATGGCTGGACCAGAGCTGTGGCTAGGGAAATGGAGCAGAAAGGGTGAATTTGAAAAGAAAAAAGGGGGGGGGTGGTTAAGGGAGAGGAAAAAAAGAAAAAAAAAAGGTGAATGTGAAGGGAGACTTGGTAGAACTTGGTGACAGAATGCAAAGGAGAAAGAAGAACTTGAGGTGCCAGCAGAGCTCTCCCCTCCCCTTCCTGCCAAGATGCCAAAGGACGTGGTACAGCCAATGGCACAGAATTGGAGAGGCTCGTGGCAAGGCAGGGGGCTGAGGAGAGGCCCCACCAGCACCACTGGCTTGTGTCAGAATCATACGTGCTTTATACCAGAGAATTCCTCTTCCTCCCACCTACCATCAATCCGGCTGACAAGCTCTTCCAGCGCCTTGACCTTCTTCTGGATCCCTGGTTGTGCAAAGGTGTAGTTATCCTGCAAATGACAGAGAGCCCAGGATGAACAGACTCCAAAGCTGTGCTACTGCTCTCAAGTTCACTGAAACACATTGAAAAGCACAGGCGGTTCTGGGGCGCCTGGATGGCTCAGTGGTTAAGTGTCTGCCTTCGGCTTGGGTCATGATCCCAGGGACCTGGGATTGAGCCCCACATCGGGCTCCCTGCTCGGCGGGAACCCTGCTTCTCCCTCTCCCACTCCCCCTGCTTGTGTTCCCTCTCTCGCTATGTCTCTCTCTGCCAAATAAATAAATGAAATCTTAAAAAAAAAAAGCACAGGCGGTTTTTCCAAAGCTGCTACCAGCGTTCTGAGGAACAAAGGAATAAATAGAACAGCAGAGTGTGGAGAGAGCCTGACAGAGCCTTGCAATGTAGGGGCACACCACCTGGCTCGGGGTGTCTAGTGGAAAGGAGCGGCACACTCTGAGGACAAAGCCAGGGGAACACAGAGACTTCCTTAGACTCCCGGTGATGCTGGACCACTGCCTTTGGGGGAAAGCTATAAAGTTAACAAAAGAGGTGAAGATGGATGGACCGAAATGAGGAAGAGGCATGCTGGGTGGGGGACCCTGCATGATGCAGAAGGGCAGGAAGGGCCTCAAAGGCCTGCGGGGAGCCCCTCGACCCAGGCCACCCACAAGGGCAGATCCGGCTCACCTGGATCCCATCTAGCAGCTTGCTCATGCACCAAAAGCTGTCGGCTTCAATGCTTCGAAGCATGTCCTGAGACAAATTGGTCACATCAAAGTTCTCCACATCCTCTTCTGTAAAACAAAAGGAGAAGAAAGTCCAGAGGTCTTCTCTAAAAAATGGAGAAAGACAGAGTCTAGGATCTTCAACAGGGTCCTTAAGGCCAGGGGAGAGCCCAGCTAACCTGATCCCCAGGAACAAGGGCCTGCCCTCCTCCTCCCCTGGTCAGGTGGGCAAGCGTGTCCCAGGAAAGTGCTTGAGGACCTCATTACAACACGGAACAGGCCATTTCTCACGCCAATTCCCCTGGGTCCAACATACCTTTCTCTTCTGCATTTGTTCATTCAGTTTTAGAAAAAGGTATTTCAGGCCTCATGCTCAATGAGCTTTACCCAGACCCTCGGAGATGGTCTGAAAAAATTCTTTGATTTCAGAAATTCAGTAAGCTGTCTGGCACACTCACACTTGTATGTAGTGAGAAAGCTGGGGCCAAATGGCCCCCATGGTTCATTTTAAAGACCAAATCTCCATATTCTGACAAGGCAGACCCACGGTCTTACCACTCAGAAATGAAGATGAGCGCGTGGGGCAGATGGGCAAAAGCTGTGGGGGCTTCTGGGATTTAGAAGTTGGTACAATTCTTGGATTCCTAAGCAGGGTTCCATAAAACATCAAAATGATAGGATACTCCAAAAGAAGGGGGTTCCATAGACGAATATGGTTGAGAAATGGTGCCTCACATACCTCATCATGGAGATTCACAAAGATCACAGCATACAGAAGGACGTGAGGAGTTATAACAAATTCTTCATTAAGTAAATCTGTTTAACCCTATTTATACAGCACTTTCCAGGCTTCTTTAGCCACCGGACCTCTTTTAAAGAGGATCATCTATTAGATTCTCATGGAAACCCCACACTAAGTAACAGTAGTGAGAGGTAGTCTATCTGGTCGGAGATCCAAGTGGGGACAACATCAAGAGTCTTCTAGAACCCTGAAGAAGAAAAAGGCCATGGGAGGTTTCCTTCCTGCCACAGAAGTGGAAGTACTAAGAAAGGCTCTCCTTGCCCAACACGATGGGCTGCCTCAACCCACAGGCCCGTGTGCTCGGCTGAGGCCACACGAGGAAATGTTCAGGCTTGAGTTCTGTGACAAAGGCGGCTTTTCTCTTTAGACCCAGAGCCCTATTTTGAAAACAGGACGTTCACTGCAGTCCCTGGTGCTGCAGAGACACAGGTACCTGACAAAACATATTCAGAATCCAGCCCTTTCATTTATGAGAATTATTACTAAGACCTACGAGTGACCCCCGTTGGGGCAATGTGTAACAATTCTTGGATTTTCATCCTGTATAAACTGCATTTTTAAATGGACATCAAGGGCTAATAAAAAACCTTTTTGGGGAGGGTGCGGTGCTTTGTCGGAAAAACTATAATGCTAGAAACAACCTAAAAGTCTGACTCGAAGTACGGCCACAGTTAATCCATGTCAAGTGCTAACAATGGTACCTGGCACACAGTAGGTACAATACAGTTTCTTTCAGATGAAGTTTATTAAGAATTTGTAATGACACAGGAAAGTCACAGTTTTAAGGGAAAAGAGCAAGATACAAAATTATTTATGGTATACTCTCAGCTACTGTACATACAATATTTATGAGTGCTTATATAAGCACAGAGAAAAGACAAAATATATCACAAGGTTTACAGTGTTTTTTTATTTTTATTTTTTTAAAGATTTTATTCATTTATTTGACAGAGAGAGACACAGCGAGAGAGGGAACACAAACAGGGGGAGAGGGAGAGGGAGAAGCAGGCTCCCCGCAGAGCAGGGAGCCCAATGTGGGGCTCGATCCCAGGACCCCAGGATCATGACCCAAGCCAAAGGCAGACGTTTAATGACTGAGCCACCCAGGCGCCCTGGTTTACAGTGTTTATTCCAGTAGGGATAAAAGATTTTTATTTTCTTCAAGCTTTACTAGACTTTTCAAAATTTCTACAATAAGCATAATTTTTATAGTCAGGAAAAAAAGGCACATTATTTTAGGAAAAAAGGGGCTACAATTGACTATAGTTGCCTTTTATCATTAAAAAGGAATAAGGATTTCGTAAACTAACACTAAGCTTGCAGAAACTAAGACTTCAGATAACATATAAAGGTCCACTTGGGAAATCACATAAAAAAAAAAAAGTCCAAGAAATATCATCTTCCCCTCCACCACCCCCCCAACTGTAACACTTACTCTGTAATATATACATACTGTGAATTTAGTTAAATACTACTGAGCTCTAAGTCCCAGTTCAGAATCTTCCTTTTTCTCTTGGCTTCCGTATTACATTTCCGAGATGCTTCCGTGGTGCACCACATGCACCTCCACCACGTTACATATCCGCACCACCCCTCCCTGGGGACGGATTTCCAGTCACCTCCCAACTCCCACCACCACCACAGACAACCTGACCCACAGGTTCCGCCAGCCCACTCTCCAGGGCTGGGCCAGCCGTATGCGAGGACAGTGCCATTCCCTTGAGTGACCACAGCTGCTCCAACCTGTCCTAGGCAGCAGCCCCCTCTTGCTGAGAGAAGAGGCTTATAGGAAAACTGTGAAACCCATGAGAAAGGCTCCAGACAAAAACCACTCCCGCTACTCCCACACACATTTCCCAAATGAACACCCAGAACTCCCTAAGAATTTGAGGAGTCTTCCCCAACTTGGGCACTCTACAATTCCAGAACACTGCAGTGGAAATGTAACTGGCAAGGGCGACAAGGGAGAAGGAGTCTGGGTCCCCAAGAACAATGGGGATTGGCCCTGGCAGCCTGTGGGTTTTTTGTCAGACAGACAGCATGGGACTGAGAGTAGAGACTCTGGTGCCAGACTCAGATCCTGGCTCTGTCACTCACTAGGTATGTGGCTTTGGGCAAATGACCTCACTTGGGTGCCTCAAAGCCTCCTTGGTTAAGGTGGTGATACCCTACCAGTAAGTTAATACAGGAAAGGTGCGAACAACCCTGCCTGGCACAAAATTAGCATTATGTAAATGTTAGCTAGTGCCATTGTCATTAAATGAGGAACAAATAACCTTCTATCTCTTCTTAAGCCTCTGTTTTTTTGGATCTCTTATTTGCAGCCAAATTTAACCTAATCCCAACATGTACCTTAAAAATAAGTCAATTTTCGAAGCTTTCCATTTCCACCATTCGGTCTAAAGGAGGAAAATCTAACAACATGAGATCTTAAGTCGGTAAGATGCCACTCTCAGTAACTGTACCAATTCCAAACCTTGAGCTGTCCAGGGAGCAAAGGGACCAACAGACAAGATGCTGAGCCCTCCTTGGGGGCTCTTGTCTCCCCATGTGCTGCCCTGATGCCCGGCCTGCCCATTAGCCCTTTGCTTTCACAGACAGCGAGTTCAGCAGCCTTTCAGGGAGTGGGAGGAGAGTTTAGTTCTAGTGTTCTGCCTGCTGGGAGGATAAAATTCACACATTCAGTCAAAAACTGTGAGCTGAGTGCACCAGCAAAAAGCAGCAGAGAAAGGGAGGCCCAAATGCTCTCTGAAGAGCTTCATTCAGCATAAACAGTCTGTTCAGAAGGATCATTAAACATTCCACTTGAGAAAATTCAACATATAATTGAAGCTGGAATGGGAAACCATGCCAGCAATGCAGTCTCAAATGAGGGCAGCGTCTTCGGTTGTCATTATGGAGCATACAACAGACAGGACTCAGACTGGAGGCAATGAGATTTTAAGGATATTTTACGGCTATTTTAAAAGGCAAAGCATCCAAAAAGAGGAAGCCCAAAAGCTCTTTATAAGAATCAAATTGCCGACTCTGGGCTTGACGAGAACATGCCCATTTATTAGCAGATAAAATGTACTTGAGCGGTGACTCCAGTCAAGTGTTTATTTTTCTGAGAACTCCAAGTCCTGGGCCTGAAATCAGCCTTGTAAATGCCTCAAATACTCCCCTACAGCTCTGGGAAGAACTGGTTCTGCTTAAACTGACAAGAGTAACTTGTCTCTTTGCTGCTCTAGGCACTTCCCAGGAACCATCTGTGATTGCACGGCAACTTCTAGATTTTGTGATCTGTTGGGTCAGAATGATTCAGCCCGACTGGCAGACAGGAGAAGGTTCGAAGCATCAGAATGCAGACAGCCTTTCTATTTCCCAAAGCCTCGGGTTTACCTGATTTCTGTTTTTATTTTTTTTAAGACCAGACGCATAAGAATACCTTACGTAATGTTTTCTGAACACAAAAGTAAACTGACAAAAAGAAAAAAATAAAATTGGGGTCATACATCTAAATGTAATCATTCTTAAGTGCTATATAAACGTATTATTGGGGGCGCTGGGGTGGCTCAGTCAGTTGGATGTCTGCCTTTGGCTCAGGTCATGATCTCAGTGTCCTGGGATCCAGCCTGGTCTTGGGCTCCCTGCTCAGTGGGGAGTCTGCTTCTCCCTCTACCTCTGCCCCTCCCCACAGCTTAGGATTTCTCTCTCTCTCGCTATCTCTCTCAAATAAATAAATACTATTGGGCACTATTCATCTGGCATTTTCAGGTAAGCATATGATGGCAGTAGCTGAGACAAGGATGTCACCACAAAACCTAGCATGGAGAGGGTGGAGGGGCCCCCGGCTAATCCCTGGAAGGTCAAACGACCTGACAGAGAAAGAAGAGTAAGGAGAGCTGGTCTTGTCCAGGGAGAAGGTCAGAGGAAAGACTTCTTCTGAGGCTCCTACAGAGCAGAGATGCGCAGGGAGGCGGTTCTGTTTCATGAGGACCGCGTTACGGTTCGTGAGAGGGGAGGCATGCTGTCTCAAAGATGCAGAGAAGCAGCTGACCAGGGAGCCCCTCCCGACACTGTGCTTGTCAGTCAGTGAGGTGACTAAAAGGTAAGGATTAACTCAGAACGATACATGATCTCTGGCTGTACCCTACTCAGCGTGGAGTAGCCTGAGTATACGCGCGTCATGATACCCCAGTTAATTTTAAAAACAGCATACTGCCACATGTTCTCTATTTTCCTCAGGTTCCTGTATTACTTTTACTTAGCAAACATTTGTGACTGC